AAAAATGGCACACAGAATTGAATGCACCACAAAGTCAACAGAGAGTTCATTTAAAAATGAAACTTATGATAAAAGTTTGATCAAAGGGAATTCATATTTTTGACCACCCAAAGAAACCCAAACATCAACTTGAAAACAAAGAAGAAAAAACAAGCCAAAAAAAAATAAAAATAGACGATAAAACTGATTTGTCCTAGAGATCAAAACCCCCTTCTTTCCCAAAAAAAAACTGTCATTCAAAAACCAAAACGTCAGTTGACTCCAGCATAGAGAGGCTGAGTGAACGTGGTCTGTCACATCTTTAAACAACTTAACTTTGTCTCCTACAAACTACAGAACTCTGCTGAGGTTGCAGAATAAAGACAGAGTCCAGCATAGAGAGGCTGAGTGAAGGTGGTCTGGACTCTGTGGAGGAGAGTCCTGGTTTCAGAGACGCTGTAGAAGGACAGAATACCTGCTCTGGGATCCAGGTACACTCCTACTCTGGAGGAACGAGGAGCTGAGAGGGAGGTTTCTATGCTGTTGGACCTAAATGTAAAGCTGTCTTCGTCACACTTTAATGACCAAGATTTGTCATTAAATCCAAATAAACATTCATACCCATTTCCTGCTCTGCTGATATTCTTGTATGTGACTGCTACATAAACTCCTTCCCCTCTCCACTCCACCTCCCAGTAACAACGTCCAGTCAGACTCTCTCTGCTCAGGACCTGGGACCAGACAGTGAATCTGTCTGCATGATCAGGATAAGACTGAGGTTTATCCATACATTTCACTTTCCTGTTCCCCTCTGACAGTAACAGCTTTCTGTTTGCTGTGTTTGGATCCAGTGTGATGTCACGTGAATATCTTAAGAAGTCGGCTCTGCTCTTTGGTTCTGGTGGCAGTAGAACATCCGGCTGAGCGGCTGCCAGTGAGACTTTAGTCCAGTCCTGTGTCAGGATGTGCTGCAGTTTGTCTGTGAGCTCTGACACAGCTGCTGTCACATCCTCAAAGCAGCTCAGAGGACGCACCCTGATGCTGGATGAATGTCTGGACTCCCTGAGTGCTGGCAGTGAGGGGCAGCTGGTCAGAAACTGGACGTGGTCCTCTGTGTGTGAGAGCTGCTGCAGCTCAGCGTCTTTCCTCTGCAGCTCAGTGATCTCCTGCTGCAGCTTCTGCTGAAGCTCTTTGACTCCCCTCACTGCAGTTTGCTGCTGGGATCTGACCTGCTGCTCCACATCAGAGCGTCTTTTCTGGATGAAACGGATCAGCTGAGTGAACATCTTCCCACTGTCTTCCACTGTTTTGTCAGCAAACTTATCGATGGCCTTCACCTCCTGCTGGAGCAGCTCCACATCTTGCTGTTTGTCCTAGATTCTCTGCTGGATTTGTTGCCGCCTCCCCTCCAGCTCTCTCTGCCTCTCAGTCCTTTCTGCTGCCGCTGACACTGTGTGGTGGCCTTTATGCTCCTCCACAGAGCAGATATAACAGATGGACTTCTGATCAGTGCGGCAGAACAGCTTCTTCACCTCATCATGGACAGAGCAGATGTTCTCCTGGAGCTTCTTGGAGGGCTCCACCAGCTTGTGTTTCTTAAATGTAGGTGACTCATAATGAGGCTGAAGGTGTTCCTCACAGTAAGAGGCCACACAGACCAAACAGGACTTGATGGCTCTCAGTTTTCTCCCAGAGCAGACATCACAGGCCACATCTTCAGGTCCAGCATAGCAGTGATCAGCAGGAGCAGTTCGGAGTCCAGTCTTCTTCAGGTCTTCTAATAATTCTGTGAACATGGTGTTTCTTACCAGAACAGGCCTCGGTATAAAGCTTTTCCTGCATTGAGGGCAGCTGTGAATTCCCTTCTGATCCTCCACATCAAAGTGGCCTTTAATACAGTTCATACAGTAGCTGTGTCCACAGGGAATAGTCACCGGATCCTTCAGGAGATCCAAACAGATCGAACAGCAGAATTTCTGTCGGTCCAGCTGAACTCCTTTCTGAGCCATTTCTGCTCTCGGTAACAGCGACTGTGTGAGTTTCTCTTCCTCAAAGCTGAAAGCTCTACTGAATGCAGTGAATGCAGTCTGTTGGGTTTGAGTGATACCACGATGTGACGTCAGGTTCAGTCGACCAATCAGGTGTTTCTAAATTGAATGTTTGTTACATCCTCTTTCAAGCAACAAAGGTAAAGGGGAGGGATCAAAGAAGTATGTGGACAGACTGGATCTACTGTGTTTAAGAGCAGGAGGTAGATCAGGATCATCAGACATTCCAGGAAGGGGAGAGGTTTAACTCAATTTAAAAAATGTTTCGTGACTTCTTTGAGTTTCTGCTCAGAGTGAAATTTGCATCATTTAAAATCAGATTAAGGAAAACAAGTCCTTAAATCTGTAGAGCATTTAGAAGCTGCACTATTCCATCTATCTTTTTTTTGTGGGTGTTTTTCTATCAACTTTTTTCCTGTTTTTCAATTTCCTTATACTCATTATTCTGTAAGCTTTTTGACATTTAACTACTTCAACATACTTCAGCCTATTTAAACAAATAAAATAGAAATTCATTCAATTTCTTTTTTACATTGCGGCTGTGTTGTCTGGTGTTGAAACCTTTTAAACTTTTTGAATTATTGAACTTTTTCTGATTTTTTCCTCTCATTGAAAATGAATGGCGGAGCCTTCAAATCCTTAAAAACGTTTGACCTACTTCGGTTTGATCTATTTCAGTTTACTTTAAAGTAGAAACACCATTCAACTTTTAAATGTTTCTCAAGGTATTGGGCTATTACCAGTTATCTTTTCTCCTTAAAATATCCAGCGGTGTTTTAAATATCACAGTTTAAAAATCATTAAAATGTTGACAATGTTGTTCCTATGGAGGCACTTTAGAGTGGGAGATCAAAGGGGTCATGTGACTCACTCTAGATTTTTCAGCCAGTTCCATTCTTCGAAATATCTTTAAACTCATTATCTATAAAAACTTTTCGTATCTTTTTGTATTTGTTTGTGTGAGTCTGTGTGTCTGTGTTTGTGTTGTGTTTGTTTGTGTGTTTGTGTGTGTGTGTTATGTTTGTGTGTCTGTTTTGTGTTTGTGTGCGTCTTATTTTGTTTGTTTGTGTGTCTGTTTGTGTCTGTTAGTGTGTCTGTTTCCGTGTATGTTAGTAAAGGTTTGTGTGTCTGTTTGTTGTGTGTTTGTGTCTATTTCTTTGTCTGTTAGTTGTGTCTTTTTGTGTCTGTTTGTGTGTCTGTTCGTTGTGTGTCTGTATTTGTCTGTTTGTTGTCTGTTCCTGTCAGTTGTGTGTCTGTGTGTGTCTGTTAGTTGTGTGTCTGTTCCTGTCTGTTTGTTGTGTGTTTCTGTCTTTTTGTGTTTGTTCATATGAGTCCGTGTGTCTGTTTGTGTCTGTTAGTTGTGTGTCTGTTCCTGTCTGTTCCTGTCTGTTAGTTGTGTGTCTGTCCCTGTCTGTTTCTGTCTGTTAGTTGTGTGTCTGTGTGTGTCTGTTCCTGTCTGTTAGTTGTGTGTCTGTTCCTGACTGTTAATTGTGTGTCTGTGTGTGTCTGTTCCTGTCCGTTCCCGTCTATTAGTTGTGTGTCTGTTCCTGTCTGTTAATTGTGTGTCTGTGTGTGTCTGTTCCTGTCTGTTCCCGTCTGTTAGTTGTGTGTCTGTTCCTGTCTGTTAGTTGTGTGTCTGCTCCTGTCTGTTAGTTGTGTGTCTGTCTGTGTCTGTTAGTTGTGTGTCTGTTCCTGTCTGTTTGTTGTCTGTTAGTTGTGTGTCTGTTTGTGTCTGTGTGTGTCTGTTAGTTGTGTGTCTGTTTGTGTCTGTGTGTGTCTGTTTGTTGTCTGTTAGTTGTGTGTTTGTGTGTGTCTGTTCCTGTCTGTTAGTTGTGTGTCAGTTTGTGTCTGTTCCTGTCTGTTAGTTGTGTGTCTGTTTCCGTGTTTGTTAGTGTCAGTTTCCGTGTTTGTTAGTGTCTGTTCCTGTCTGTTAGTTGTGTGTCTGTGTGTGTCTGTGTGTTGTGCGGGAGCCTCCTCACTGGGGGGGGCTGTGGAGGGGGCGTGGCGCTCAGCTGCAGGGGGGAGGGGTGGAAGAGGCTCAGGTGAGCAGTGCCAGGGGAGATGATTGGGCACACCTGGAGCCGGTTGGCTAATCACTCTCCCCTCTGTAAAAAGAGTAGTGTGCTGGACCTGGGGGGGACTGGTTTTGAGCAGAGCCGGAGCAGGAGAAGGACCTGAACGACCAGGTTGAGCAAGCCAAGCAGACTGCCAACAAAGCAGAGAGCCCAAGCCGGGCGTGTGCGTGAGTGGGTGTGCGTGTGTGTGAGAGAGTGTGTGTGCGGGGGGCACACACGCTCTAAAATAAACAGTTATAACAACCACCTTGGTCTCAACAAGTCTCTGTCGGGGCACCCACGGTGGCAAGAGTGTCACAATTGGCACCCAACGTGGCCTCGACGAGAGTTCAGAGGCGGAGATGATGGAATCACAGCAACCCATACTGGCCATGATGCTGGCGGAGATGGCCGCGGTGAGCCGGGATCAGGCGGCCGTGAGCCGGCAGCAGCTGGGGGCTCTGCTGGCTCTGTCAGAGCGGCGGACACTGCTACTGGAGGAGATGGTGGAGAGTAGGCATGGCAAGATTCACCGATGCGTATCGGAACATCGGAACGACCTGTGCGATACGGTTGCATCGATTTGCAAACGTCTGCATCGGTAAAAACCGCACATAAACTCGAGATGCATCGTATAAAACTACCTGCATCGATACAAACCGATTATTATCTTCTATTATTATAACTTTTTAGAAACGTGTCTTTGAGTTTTAGTTGCGTTTCTTGTAAAGTTTCAGAGAGATAATCACTTTCTAAGTTGCACTTCCTTTGTTTCAAAATAAAAGACACAGTTAGCTTGCGTGCCATAACTTGAACTATGTAGTCCATGGTGTACTTTTCTTCTGCATTGCATCGCATCGTATTGTATCGTATCGTATCGTATCGCACTGTATCGCAGCATTTTAAATTTAGATCGTTCTGTATCGCACCGGATCGCAGGAGGTTGGAGAATCGTATCGAATCTTATCACTAGAAATTCCATGAATCGTGAATGTATCGAATCGTTGGCTGTGTATCGAGATGTGTATCGTATCGCCTTGGTGGTGAAGATTCCCATCCCTAGTGGAGAGGGCAGCGACCCCACCAAGTGACCCGGCGATCGCTGGGATCGAGACGCGGAAAATGACGGAGCGGGACGACCCGCAATCGTTCCTCGGGGCCTTTGAGGCTACGGCGTCGGCATGCGGGTGGCCGGAGGAGGAGTGGGCTGTGCGGCTGCTTCCCCTCCTGTCAGGAGAAGCCCAGACCGCAGCGCTGGGGCTGCCGGCCGCCTCCCGGGGACGATTCCCGGAAGTGAGGAGGGCTGTGCTGGATCGGCTGGGGATGTCGGCGGAGGACCAGCGGCGCCGGTTCCGGGAAGCCCAGCTGGGACCGGAGGGGCGACCTTTTGTTTACGCCCAGCAGCTGCGGGACGCGGCGGCCCGCTGGCTGCAGCCCGGCGAGGCGGAGGGGGAACAGCGGCTGGTGGAGACGGTGGTCCAGGAGCAGTTCGTGGCGGGGCTCCCGGCTGCAACATCGGGCTGGGTGCGGTGCCACCGTCCGGCGGATCTGGCGGCGGCTATCACTCTGGCGGAAGACCACCTGGCGGTGGTTTCTCCACGCCAGACGCTGGGTGGCGAGCCGTCAGCCCCGCCCACGCCGGCCCCCAGACGAAGGGCGGCACCTGCACCCAGTCCGGGGGCCCCCACGACTGCTCGTCCCCTTCCTACCCCCCGTACTCGCTGCTCTGCCCCCCCCCAGGTCCAGGTCCCCGGCGCTACGGGCCCTGCTCCCCACCCACAGGGGGTTCCTCAGGCGACAGGGCTGGCGTGCTGGAGGTGTGGACGGCCCGGTCACTTTCGCCGGGAGTGCCCACTGATGGAGGTGGGCCAGGTGATCCGGGTGGTCGGCCCTCCAGCACCCTCCCCCGGTCCAAGAGGGACGTACAGTGTTCCGGTAAGGATTCAGGGGGGTACACATCGGGCGATGGTGGATTCGGGCTGTACCCAGTCCATGGTTCACCAGAGCCTGGTTCGACCTGGGGCATTGTTGGAGGCGGGGTGTGTGGACATTATGTGTGTGCATGGGGATGTTCACAGATACCCTGTGGTGCCAGTGGAAATACGGTATAGGGGGAAAAAGCATAACATAAAGGCGGCGGTTAGTCCCCGCCTGGCGCACCCCCTGATTCTGGGTACTGATTGGCCGGAGTTTGATAAGCTAGTGGGGCAATGTGTAGGGGTGCGCTCACGGCCGACAGGGACATGGGATATGTGCGCTGTGCTCAGTGGTGACGCGAGGTCGTCCGACGCTGCAGACGGGGAGGGGGAGCTGGCGGTGCCTCCACCGGAGGCTCCGCTAGTGCCCGCATTTAACTCCATGGAAGATTTTCCACTCGAGCAGTCTCGTGACGATACTCTACGCTGTGCCTTTGACCAAGTGATAAGAATTGATGGTCACATGGTGCACCCTGACACACCGCTGACATATCCACACTTTTCATTGTGCAGGGACAGGTTGTACCGAGTGAGCCGTGACACTCAGACTAGTGAGGTGATTACCCAGTTGTTGGTACCTAAAAGCCGCCGGGAAATTGTTTTCCAGGCGGCTCATTATAACCCAATGGCTGGCCACATGGGGTATGACAAAACACTGAACCGGATAATGGCCCGATTTTATTGGCCAGGCATTCGGGCAGACGTGCGCCGCTGGTGTGCGGTCTGCCCTGAATGCCAACTGGTTAATCCAGCGGCCATCCCGAGGGCGCCGCTACGGCCCCTACCTCTGATGGAGGTCCCGTTTGAACGGGTCGGGATGGACCTGATCGGGCCATTCCACCGGAGCGCACGCGGATATCGGTTTGTGTTAGTCCTGGTGGATTACGCAACCCGATATCCGGAGGCAGTGCCGCTGCGCACCATCTCTGCAAAGAGTGTGGCGCAGGGAGTGTGTGTGCGGGGGGCAAACACACTCTAAAATAAACAGTTATAACAACCACCTTGGTCTCAACAAGTCTCTGTCGGGGCACCCACGGTGGCAAGAGTGTCACACTCCTTTTGGCACATTTCTGGCTTATTTTAAAAATGAAAAGCAGCGACGCGTTCCTTAATCTCTCCAGGCGTTCACAGCTCCGCCAGCCCCCAGGTTATTCCACCATCAGCCCTTCAGAGCCTTCCTGTCTGTCTCACCTGTCTGAAAAAGCACAACCGTTTCCAGCTCTAAACCGTTCTCCCTTTAGCTCCTCCCTCTGCCGGTAGAGCACCTGGTTTGGTTTCATGGAGGCAGAAGCTGTTACAGTTTACTTGCTGTGAGGGATTCGGAGCCCTTTACAGGTGCCCCCCCCCCCCCCCCCC